CATGACTGACGAGCGCCCCATCAAGCAGCGGTACTTTCCGCGCAACCCTGCAATGCAATCTGTCATCGACGCGGAAATGGATGAGCTACTCGAGAAAGGATGTATCGCGCCGTCCCGCAGTTCTCACAGTGCACCGATCGTACTAGCCCGGAAGAAGAACGGCAAGTGGCGCCTGTGCGTGGACTACCGCCAACTCAATGCCAGGTCAGTTCCGGACGCATACCCCTTGCCGAGGATACGGCACATATTGGACAAACTGCGCCAGGCGAATTACATCAGTAGCCTAGACCTCAAAAACGGATACCCCTGGAGCCAAATAGCCGCCCGTACACAGCCTTCACCGTACCGGGACGCGGCCTGTTCCAGTGGCGCGTCATGCCGTTCGGCCTGCATTCCGCACCCGCAACATTCCACAGAGCGTTGGATCAAGTCATCGGACTGGAAACGGAGCCCTACGCGTTCGCCTACCTCCACGACATAATCGTCATAGGCTCCACCTTCGACTAACATGTGAAGCACTTGCGACACGTGAAGGTACTCCGACGACTACAGTGGGCCAACCTGCGCATTACCCCCAGGAATTGTCATTTTTTTTAAAAGGAGCTCCGGTACCTGGGCCACGTCACTAACGACAAGGGCATACACACCGATCCCGACAAAGTCGCCGCCATCCAGGAACTAAACCTCCCGACCAACGTGAAGAAGGTGCGCCAATACCTCGGGATAGCTTCCTGGCATCGCCGGTTTGTACCCGACTTCGCTACACTAAGCCAACCACTCACCGTCCTCCTGAAGAAGGGAATAATTGCTAGAACGGTTAGCGAGATACATATATGTGATCATAAGTGGGCGGTGCCACACCCATTTTCCAAAATTGTATCATAAGCGTATTTCTTGGTAAAAAATTGTTGCAACCATCAATTTTGAATAAAGTAGCTTTAATATTTACTGATTTATCGAGGATTTCGTATTTTTCTAAATTACCGTTATATGGGATATGGGCGTGGTTATTGTCTGATTTTAAAAATTTTCGGCCATTTGGTATGTTGTAGCAGGCCCAACAACTGTGCCAAGTTTGGAAGAAATTATTGCAGCGGTTACCAAGAAATACACATGTAACCATAAGTAGGCGTGGCTACGCCCATTTGCCAAAATTTTTTAATATTCTTATTTTTCGTCTAAAAGTCATTGTAAATATCAATTTTGAGTGAATTATCTTCAGTAGTTACTAAAATATCGCACTTTTCGTATTTCTGAAAATTACCGTTATATGGGAGGTAGGCGTGGTTATTGTCCGATTTCGCCCATTTTTAATACCATCCGTCCTATGCCCAAAAGAAGTCCACGTACCAAGTTTCGTTAAGATATCTCAATTTTTACTCGAGTTATCGTGTGCACAGACGGACGGACGGACGGACAGACAGTCACCGCTTAATCGATTTCTCTTTTCATTCTGATCATTTATGTATACATTTGTCTATATCTATCTCGATTCGTTTTGCCTGTTACAAACAACCGTTATGTGAACAAAGTTATAATACCCTTGTGCACAAGTGCGCTCGGGTATAAAAATATTTTAATATATATGATATTAATTGGCCAACCAGCTATTTTTTTAAGGGCTTGCAAACAATTCTGCGTACTTAACTAAGAAAACATCTGTCTTATGACGTTCTTCCCGCAAGCGTGCGATATTTATGCATTTTTTTCTTAACACCCAGTATAATATTTTCCGATGATTTCTCTTATTTACCCTTCACAAACATATCCACATATACATATATATGTACATACATACAATAATTCTCTTAAGCCGTTGGGTAGTGGTTGCTCTTTAGAAAATGTCTTGCCTGTGTGAAAACAACCAAAGCAGCATTTGAGCAAATGGTATACATATCGTCGTTTAAACTACAAAACCGCGTATCAACAAAATGCAAAACCGCATATCAAGATAATGCAAAACCGCGTATGTGAGGTTGCATAAATTATTTTCTAGAGAGTAAAAACACTCATATTTCAAAACGGTTCTCCTTTTATAATGCAATCGCATTTCTGGCTAGTATATAATATGGATTGAGCCAAGAGCTTGTGTGAGCAAGTCCAATTTTTGGCAGCGAATATCAGTTACGCGGTTTTGTACTTTAAACGACGATATGTATATACGTAGGTAGATACATATATAAGCTTGTATATATGTATATGCATATGTATGTATGTAGGTATGCACACCAGGGCGTAGCCAGGAACTATTGTACATAGGTGGGGTGTAAAATTAATATACCAATAAAAAAAATGTTATTCAATAATTTTTTTATTCTAGTAACAAACGCCTTTGAGTTTTAGCAAACTCTTCAATTACTTCTCAATCATCATGCGGTTTTCGTTAGTCCATAAAGTCTTTCCTCTCCTTATGGTCGTGCTTCTGGGTATTCAGTTAGTGTTCCACCAATATACATCCCGACTCTTGCGTCCCCGTTCGCGTACTTTGGGATCATTGGATCGAGATTCAGTATTTAAAACTTTGGTTCCCGGCAGAAAGAGAGGAGATTTCGATGGGGTTAGTCCTTTAAGTCTCAATAAATTCAGCGTCATCTAGTCAGCTTTATATTCGGCTACATGCGGGCGTCTCTTGTCTTGGAGCAAGCAGCTAGCTATGTAAATGAGCATCTTAAAAAGCTCTCCCAGAAATGGATTGTGCACTGGGTTTTGGACTCGTAAAGTAAAAAACAGATCCAATGGAAAACCCAAAACAGCCTCTGTTAATTGCCCCCAAACTCTGACGACCCACCACACGAAACAAGGACTACGCTTTACGGATATGCGCTTGGAATAACCCCTCCATAGGAAAGGCGCCTTAATCCAACAGCCGGGTTTCTTACAGAATACCAGTACAGGAATAGCGACAGACGGGGCTTGATTGTGAAAAATTTGCAGCGTGCGACATCTATTACAGCTGCCATGAGATTGGTGAAGTTGTGCGGAGGCCTCGACAGCTTGTGCCTATGTAGGTTCACTTCTATCGGTGAACGAATTGCCACAACCCGCAAGAAAGCTTAACATATTTGGTCCAACAGTCGTAAATTTATGACAATACCTCAGACCACGAAGAGAGGTTTACCGATTTTTCCGCAGCTCAGAACATGGTAGTTATTTAGTAGGTAGTACCACACACCAGCAACGAAACATCCATAAAACCATTTGGGTATCCCCGAAAAACCAAATTGGTAACATTGTGATAGGCGCCGTAAAGCTATAGCCTCAAATGAAACCCGAGAACTTTCGCAATAGACTCTAAATCCTGCTTCAACAAGAAATTTCTCATCAATTGGGTATACATAAATGAGCATTGGGATTCGATCTATCAATCTCTTCGTACCGTTGCGTTTGGTTTCTTTCACCCACAAAGGAACAGCGTAAAGGTAAGACGAAAAGTGCCTAGCAGCTGCTGCAGGGAAATGCGGTAACAGAAAAAAGGGGAAAATAGAGTTTCTTTTTAAAAAGAAGAAAAGAAAAGCAGAAAGGCGCGAGTGTGAGCAGATTGACATTATGCCAGGCAGGCTAATTTGACGCTGTGCTTGCTTCAATGTATCAAAGCAGAAAAACCCCGGCATTAAGTGCAAATTGAGAGCATAGTTACGAACTTGACTACGTACACAATTTTATATTTTTTGTTTATTATAAATTTTTTAAGTTCGACTTAGTCTTATAAGCTCCTCACCCTGCCCCTACCTGGGTACGCCCTTGTACTATGTACATATCAGGGATGTTGCGAATATTTGCATTCGCATTCGTTATGCGAATGATTCGCATTATTTTACACATTCGCATCAAATGATACGAATGTTTTGCGAATGCGAATGTCTACATGGGCAGAGAGTCCACTCTATATTGTTGAAATGGCTATAAGTCTGTCTAGCCAGGGTGCGGACAATAACCGGCTTTTAACTTCAGGCGCTAAACGGTTAAATATTATATCAAGCAACACTGATGGACCTTCAAAAAGTACTGCTAAAAGTCTCAAAGCAACCTAGAAATAATTTTGAATTCCTCAAGCGAAAGCGAAGGCTCGGTTGTAGAATCTGGAGACATTAAAAATGTGAAATTAAAGCTCAATTGAAGGCCTATCTTAAAGAAAAAGGAGCTCATCTCGGTTAAAATCCTCTCGATTGGTGGAAAACTAAACTACAATACGACAAATTGACAGACCCGCAAATATTTGAGCGCTCCACCCGCCAGCGTTCCAAGTGAGCAATTGTTCAGTGAAGCCGGCCTTATAGACGAGCCTAATGGGCGAAAAGGCAGAAAAATTACTTTTTTTAAATATAATATGCCCCTTTTGAGCTTTGACTACTACAAACAAAAAAAAACTATTAACCACTCGTTCAATGTTCTAATAATTTACAAAATTTTTAAGTACTAAAATCGATTACTTATAGGCAATATAGACGGTGCGTCTGACTCGCGAGTCAACTGTGTACGTGTTGACTCGCCTTTCGACTACACACATTTGAGTCATTCAGAGTCATACCAGAGTCATGTCGGTGTAACTTACACATATTTATTTTCATTAACACATCCAAACCGACTCGCGAATCAGACGCACCGTGTATGCCGCCTATTAAGTTGATTATAGCTCTTTTAATGTTATTCCTAACATTCGCATTCCGAAAATTCGCATCCGCAAATGTGAAAAATATGACATTCGTAACATCCCTAGTACATATGTACATACCGTACACGATCTTGAAAGATGACACAACCCAAAATTACACGTTTGGCAGAAAATGCGAAAAACTGTATTTTAGCACATGCTAATCATTTAGGCAAGGGAGACTTTACCTTAGGGTTTTTCAACAAATTATAACAAAAGTTTGCTCCAGCTTTTGCTGAAATATAAATAAATGCTCTGTGTACATTTTTAGCGTACAATTTCAAAAATTCCAAATTTTGAATTGTGTCACTTTTGAAGATCGTGTGCGATACGGTCTCGGTAAATGCCTCATTAGAGTGCTACTAAAATGAAACGGAGAGAAGGAACTATGTTGTCAGATACAGGTATACATTCAAACATTTTCACACAAATATTACGCTGTTAGTTAAATGCTTTTGAAACAGACGTATTAACACACAAGTGCTTCGACAATGCGATGCGGAAAAACGTTAAAATAGCAGCAAATATGCAGTGAAAATTGGTGAAAAGAAAAATATGACCAAGAAAATGGCAGAAGAATATGGCGGTGCTGAAAACTCTTGAGGAAACTGGTGAAAATAGAGAGCGGAGCGTCAATAACAATGGACAAACCAAACAAACAACTATGTAACTGCAATTTAGTATGTACATACATAAAGAACGTGACGAAAATAAAAAATAGAAACGATAAAAAGCAATAATAAAAAACAGAAACGCAACTTCTTTTGAAACAAATTCAGCAGATTGCTAAACAAGTGACGAGCAATATTCAGCAAAAGCGAAACTTCAATAAAAATAAAACTACGAAAATAAAATTTAATTCAATAGAGGAGCAATCAAAGTGCAAATTAAGTGGAGGTTATTAACTAAGATTAAAGCAGGGCATCTCGTGGTAACATTTTGATAGGAAATGGGGCAAAAACTAATATTATGGGCCACATTCGGCATAGTGTTGCTTACCACACAATGGCTGGACGTGATTAGGTAAGTGACAATGGAAAAAACAAAACTGTCCATTTTAAAGAGGAGTACTTAAATAGGAAATAATGAAACATAAAGCAAATATTAAATCAATGTTAAGAAATAATAGATTAATGTGTCAAAAACTGGGCAATCGCAAAATCAATTTCATAAAAAAGGGTGATAGAAAAAGTACGCAAATGTGCAAAGACTGCATAGACCAAGGCAATATAGTCATATTCATACACACATACGCGTATACATAAGTATGTATACATACACATACATACTATATGTTCACAGTATGCAAAAAGTATATTCGTACACCAAAAATTTAATAATTTAAGGGATACCGTATTGACGAATTTGATTACATCAAAAGAAAAATAATTACTGTTTTATTTAATATACAATGTATATGCATACTTTCGTTTTTGAATGAAATACAAACCCAGCTAGCCAAATTCGGAGCGCTCCGAATATGGAGTGAAAAGGGACTCCCACAGCAACACCTCGAAGGAGCGTTTTCGGAATGATCCGAACACAGCAGAGTGAAAAGGGAGCCAAAGTGTTTTTTTTTGTTATATTGGTTTTCCTTTCATTCCCAGCCAACCAGTGGAGTCCATAGGGTGCCCAATTAGGACTCCCTGTGCGGTGCGCTTATGCTCCTAGGGAGGCTCTGAAAATAGTCCCAAAGGAGCATATCCGCCGAAGAAAAGTGCTTTCTCAGTATATATGAAATACAAATCTCCCTGAGATAATCCGCAAAGACTCTGCGGACTCCCCTATTCGCCTATGCTTTTGTGAGAAGGACTCCTTAAATCATCCGAAGATAACTTAGACGGAGTGTTTTGGGAGCGCTCCGATAATAGACCGAAAAGGAGGATGCACAGTTTTTCAAAATGCTCCTAATTTAATTTATAATTTATATAATTGAAATTTTCTCATTTCTTTTTATTAAAAAATCTTTAAATTAAAGAATAGGATTTAATATATTAAATATTCAGTAAAAAAGGAAAAACTGTGAAATACTAAATAAAAAATCTTTTTTATTTTCTTAAGACGGAACCTCTATTGGATTCGTTCCCAAAACCAGATAAGTTTGTAATAAATGCGCCTTTCAAGCTCTAAAGCTAGCCAAATGTATGCATTATTGCTTACCTCCGAATGCATTCGCAACTGTCATAACGTCAACAGCTTTTTTTGCGTGGTCTCAGCCATGCCCAACGAGAGACCCAGGGAGTGTGCCACTCCGACTAGGAAGGTCCATAGAGACAGGGGCGTTAGTCGAGTTGGGTTTAAGGGGCATGCGAATAAGTGTTGCGAGTCATGAGGGACTATCCACATGCCGGGCACTCATCGGGCACATCTGCATTTATCCTACTCACGTAGCCTGCTGCCAGAGCGAAGTTGGGCGATGGTGGTGCAAGTCTCCCTAGGCAGAAGAAGCTTTGTCTCGTTCACGTCAGGTGTCGAGTTGGTTTAAGTCGAGACCGACTCCCCGTGAATGTCATTTATGGCTTGTTGGCGCGGTTATTTTATGAACATCTGGACTTCGTTCGCTAGCTCATACAGACGCCTTCTAGGCGGGAGTTCTATGGCAAGCAGGTGTCTGCTCGGGTGAATTTGAGCCTCGTCGTCTAGGTGGTACTGTGGCGGAATTAGTATGCTCGACGTGAATTCCCAGCTGTAGTTTGACCTCCTTCGTTCAGCTGGTAGGGGGGGAGAGTTAGGCTCCTTGCAGTGAAGAAGCGAGAAAGTTCGGAGAGGTATCCGTTTACTTTCGAGCACAAGTCATCAATTCAATTCCCGGAGCCATTGTCGAGCAGTCGTCAGCATAAGGTATAATAGAGACTCTCTCTGGTGGTTGAGGGAGCTTTCAGATATACTAATAAACAGAAGCAGGGAAAAGACGCCACTCTGTGGACCCCTGTTTATTATTATTATTATATATATGAAAAGAAGTGACGATCCACTGCTTTACATTCAGATGGAGCACTAGTGTTACCACCTTCAGCTCGAAGACCCCTGTTTAATTTTCCTCGATTTTCTGGTTTAATCTCTGAAAATTACTAATGAAAGTCGACCACCGTTTGAGCTTAAGTGGGAGAGAGGAAGCCTTAATGTCTTTTATTTAGAAGCGTGGAGTGGCTGACGGAATCAAACGCCTTTGACCAATCCTACGCTACTAGGAGTTGTCTCTCGCAGGGGCGGTTTCGGTTCAGATCACGAGTTATCTGGCTGTTTATGGCATTAGCTGCCGTTGTTGTACTGTGCACTTTACTCATGCCTTACTGGGGTTAGGTGGTACGTATAGTGCGGGAGCAGCAAGGCCTCAAGTGTCTTAGCTACCGGGAAAGGGGGGTTATCGGTCGATACGGCTCTCTGTTGTTAGCCGGTTATCTGGAACGATGAGAGTGGCCATGGACAACTTGAGGACCTTGGTGAGATAATCTACCCCGCAGGTCACACTAAAAAGTAAAATAAATAGAATTTGGCTGTAACTGCTGCTTTTTAGGGAATGTTGTATTTCGGACATTGTATTTTATAATCGATAATTTCTTCTTTGTATACTTTATTCGCTATTCTATGTTTTATCGTATATCGATTGGTCTAAGTTCACTGTTTGTGAAATCCTGCGGAACACCAGTAAATGTATTAAAGGAATTTTCGTTTTACAGTTTTCATTCCTTGTCGCATTGTCAAGCGGAATAAAAATATTATATTTAAATAAACCCTCCAAATTACAAAGAGGATGTTTTATTTATCACACCCATAAAATGAACAACTTTATTTTTGTTAGAAAAAATGTCAAAGCCAACCCCAACTAAAGTGAACCGATCGCCGCCAGCCACTAGATCTTCTCGGAGCCATACAGTTACACAACAAGTAGCAGCACCGGATACCGGCGAATCTTCCTCAGAGTATTTGACTCGTATGTACGACAAAAGTTAACGGCTATGATGGCGGAATTTATGAAACTCGTTGCCAATTCTACCAACGTGGCAACAATAATGGAGACTCTGCAAGGCACTTATGGTCACCCTGGGCAGCTAATCAAGAGCCAAATTATAAAAGTGCGAATGATCCCAACAAACATTTAGGTTTGAGCTCAGCTTGAAATTAAATTGACAACTAAGGTACTTCTCACATCTCCAACGTTGTTTCTCAACAGTACCTCAAGTGGAGGATCATAGCGTTCTTTACAAAAAGGGCTTTTTTCTTTGTATGAAAATAGGACTATTTTTCAAAATGAGAAAATGCTAGTTCTCAACTTGAACTCCAATGTAATTCTCCAATTGGTCTCAAACATATCATTGAAATACTGAAAATGAAATACTAAAATAACTTATAATAATATAATAATAGATTGGCGCTTACACATATGGTAGTGTTTGGCCGAGCTTCTCCTCCGATTTGTGGCGTGCGCCTTGATGTTGTCACACAAGACTGTTTGAACATTATTTGAAGATACTTTGAAGATTATTTACTTTTTGTTGGTAATTTTCCTTTATATAGCTTAAGTTTTTCACTTGATAATTAAAAATTCCGTTGTCTACCACTTTTTACGTATCTTCGCGTGGGTTATAGATGAGTTGGATAATGATGTTGGATATCAACTAGAGAACTATGAGTTTCTCCAAGGTTGGAGAAAGCAATAGCCAATGACAGTTTGGAGGCGTTGGTGAATATTATAACACACGTTTTTAAAGAATGCCAAAGGGGAACATCATTTGTCTAAACCTTCATTACTGAGTGAGCTCGTTGGAAAATTGCCAGTGCAGAAGCAAATGCAATGGGCAGAGAAGTGCTTGCAGTTGGACCACCAGCCAGAATCGTTGATTTTAGTGAATGGTTGAATAATGTTCGACGTTTAGCACATATAGTAGCGGATTCTTTGACAATAATGTCGAATACTTTTAAGGAAAAGAAAACACCTAAATTTTCTATATCAAATGCTGTTCTTCGTTTTGTTGCTGTTGGCGTTAGTCGTCGAAAGTGTTTACAGTGTAACGGTGAGTGTTCACAATTAAAATAGTGCCGAAGTTTTTTTTGGAGTTTAGCGTTGGTAATCGAGGTGTTTTTGGTGTTTAAAATGGGGACATCATGTAAGGAACTGTTATTCACGGAAGCGTTGTGGGGTGGAAGGATGTACTCAAGCACACAATCCTCTTTTACATATTTCGCAATCAATACCGCAGAACGCGTCTGAAGAGCAACATACGGACGATGGAATCAGTCAACATGTCCTCTTTCAAATCTTGCCCTCTAAACTGTATGCAATCGGAATTGATAGGGCCAATGTATCTATAATGAGCTTAATGAAATACATAAGATGATGAACCAGTTATTTATGTTAAAGACTTTTGGGGTAAAAGCCGATTTAAAACCACTTACATCATCAGCCGGTGAGAGAGTTATTTTAATATTGAAATCTACCAGTAAGCGCATTGGAAACCGATATGAATCTGGGCTGATTTGGAAAGAAAACTTAAACCGTGCTTAAAATTTACTTGCTAGGAAACATGATCAAGTTTAAATAGCACTGGAATAGCTGCGCTTGATTGTAGTTGGCTGAAATGAAAAAAGTGGAAAAAGCACAAAGAGCTTATAAGGCGAACTTAGCACAGTGCGAAGGCAACTGGCTGAGTCAGCTGGGGTCGTCGGTTCGAATCCCGCTGAAGAAGTCTGATGAGGAGATGTGGTGATTTCCGAAATGGCTATCACTTCTACTATTTTTTCAAATTGTTGTTGCTTTTCCACAGTAGTTTTTCATTACAAACGGCCTCAAGCCCATTAAAAATTTTGAATATAATTGTTAAGAAAAAAAAACAAAACCGACTTCAATTCTCATATACAAATTATAGAGTGCCGATATTTTATCCATGTTCCAATGAACGGGAATAAACTAACACCCCTATTCTGCAACTCTTTCGTATTCGGATTTTGCTACGAATCGTAGAAATAGTATGCTGCAATCCGAATCGTATCTTCGTACTTTCGAAACTCGTAACAATGGCATG